AATCTAGAGATATCTGAACCTATATATCCGGATTAAATATGCACTTAGGAACTTATTTTTGTCCATTGACATGCATGTGTGCGTGCTGTGCTCATTACTCAAAACAATGACTTGCGACTTAGTCCTTATTATGCTGGAGCGGGTCACATTTTCACTCGCTGTATCTCCCACAGCCGACCAAGAGTTTGAGAACTGCAGCTACTGCAACCTGGAGTTCGACGCAGTTTGTGGGACAGATGGCACCACCTACACTAACATCTGCGAACTCGACTGCATCGCTTATCAGAAAGGCAAGTGTTACTACGTATGCGTATGAGCCATTATAAGGTGGGTGATAACGAAGTAGATTTGTGAGGAATTTACTTCGTTATAGTCGGCTAGCTATTCGCCGATAGAGGCTTTGTTGCTGCCACGACATTAAATAATATTATGGTTGTAAACAAGTTACGTTCGCGTGCGACTTCTCATAATAACAGACGAGCAAGCACACAAGTAGTTCGCACGGTCAATGTAAAACCAGTAATAGGAGGCAATGAGCGGTGTGTATATCGTAAACGTGGATGCGTATGCGCGTTCATGCGTGCGTGCCTACGGGGGTGTATATGATAGTAACCACTGCCAGTGTGACTTTACATGTTCGTTATAACTAAGCAATTATACGTGTGTTGTTATGTTGTGCCTGTGTCCGTGCGTGCGTGTGTTGGTGTGAACGTGTGTCTGTGCGTGCGTGCGTTGGTGTGCGCGTGTGTCCGTGCGTGTGTTGGTGCGCACGTGTGTCTGTGCGTGTGTGTGTGTGTTGTTGTGCGCCTGTGCCCGTGCGTGCGTGTGTTGGTGCGCGCGTGTGTCTGTGCGTGCGTGTGTTGGTGCGCGCGTGTGTCTGTGCGTGCGTGTGTTGGTGCGCGCGTGTGTCTGTGCGTGCGTGTGTTGTGTCCGTGCGTGCGTTCGTTGTTGTACGCGTGTGTCAGTGCGTGTGTGTCAATGATTTAGCCTATGAAGGGGGCGGTTGCAGCTGCCGCCCATAGTTTTGTTAAAAACACAAAATGAATTCCCCCATTTTTATTCAGGTAATGAATTTCTCACCCCGCCTCACTCACATTCGCTAGAGATTTGCTGATCGCACAGCCCCCGTTGGTTTGGTGTGATAAATATTTATGCAATCTCTCGCCTTTATAACTATAAGGCGCCAAATTTATCTTATTATGCCTCTAATCTAGGATATTGTTAGATCTGTGTTCACGCTCTCCATATATATTTTGCTGAAAACATACATTTGAAATAGCGAGAACATACACACTAGTAATTTGGCATAAACCCCGTTCTAATTCGAATTGAAAATCTCTTATTTGAACAATCATAAATAGTATATAGGATATTCATTCGTCAATCTCATTACTCATGCAGAATATTCACCAATATCTTAGGGATTTGCGCAGATTACGACTCTGTGTGCGTGCAGGCGTGCGTGCGTACGTGCGAGCGTGCATGCGTGCGTCCAGGTGTGCGTGCGAGCGTGCGTGTGTGCTCTATTAAACAACAATGTACTCTACAAGTACAACTTGCATCAGTCTAGAAAACGGTTACAGTCACTCTTGTAAGACGCCGAAACAAGCAAGTCAGTTCTTCTCTAGGAACGAAATTCGATTGTTGTGACAAACTCCTTGTATACAGTTAATCATGCTTTACTTTTGATTTCCATCCCACTTTGCATTCAGGAGAAGAAATTTCATTACGCTACTCGAGCGTTTGTAGTTTGGAGTCCAAACTTTGGACTGTGACGGCGCAACCAAGGGTGGCAGACCAACGCTAGACTGCGCATGCCCAGATTCGTACCAACCACTTTGCAGTAAAAGTGGCGACACCTATCAAAATGTTTGTGAATATAAGTGCGCACAACAACGTAGCGTGATTTTTATAATAAAAAATGTGCAAATCTTCTGCGATAACTATCAGCTGCTTGCAGGGCTGAAATGCGATCCACGTGCCGTTGTGCCCGCCACTTTGATGCAGCTTTCGTCCTTTGCATCGCAATGCAACTCTGCGTTCGTTCTGATTTCGCGCTGCGCAGCTGCAAGCATGCGCTTGAGAATCACTGAGAATGAGCGAGCCGAAGCTACCTGCTAAAATAATCAGTGAGAATTGATTGCCCTGCTAAGTGCGCTTTTAATGACAAAAATTCATTATCATCTTCCGAACGTATGCAGAGAGCACCATTCTCTTGCCGTCTTCAAAAAGGATTTCTCTATTACCAGGTAATAATAACCAGCGACAGATCATTCAAACTCCACACAAAAGTGGCCACACCTCCTAAAATACGACAGTTGGTATCTTGGGGCCAGCGGTTAAGCATTTCCTCTCACAGCTGCAAACCACTGCAGTGACAAGCCAAACAGTGTTACTACTCACCAACGGTAACCGAGCAGGAGCGCTGCGGAAAGTCAAACGGAGGTCGCGTGGTCTGAGAGGTCTACTGGGAGAGTTGCCTAGCGCACATCCGCCGTTTAACTACCATCCCTAGAAGCTATGGGTACACACACACGCACACACATCTCCTATATTTATTTATTTACATATATTTATATATACATATATATATATATATATATATATATATATCGTATATTAGAAGCAGACTTCATCACCGCGACTTTTGTCGAACGCTAGGGGGTGTCCTTTAGCTGGCCACATTAACCATTGATCCAATTTCCACGCATCTTCGACTTTCTTCTGTAGTAAGTAAAACCCAAGCAGTGATCCGCCTTGCAAATAGGTTGCGCTGCAGGCTAGATCATAGCGTCATTAACAGCCGCTTGTCGACGTCCTAGACACACATGCAAGTCATGCAAATACGCGCGCTTGCCTGCTTGCCTGCTTGTCAACATCTGCGTGCATGCTTAAAATACCGTAATCTTCATCGGATTTTTCGGATACACAACGAAACGGGTCCGAGTGCTGGCAGAAATGTCCATGAAGCGTTATTCTTCGCACACCGTTTAAAAGAAAAGGTTACCGAACCACGTTTCTAAATTTGTGTGCGGCGTCTCCCACCACTCAGTAAACTAATGGGTGTATTACCGCTCGACATAATTCTATCAAAATTTTCACTACCACACACGTCCTGTTACAGCAGGCAGTGCTACTGAATTTTCCTGAAAAGAAACGAGCAGTAATCGGTATAGCCACATGGTGCTTCATGTCAGTTTGTAAGCGTAAACGGTCCTTGAAGCAATCATGATCGAGATTTGACGCTATGAGCCATCTGCTTTGCTGCCTTTTGACACATGCGGTAACGGTTCCGTTGTTCATCGTATATATCGTTCCATCTCTTTAGATGACGCTACGCTAGCCGTAGACTACGAAGGAGAATGTGACCGACAAACGGGTACCGGACCAGGTAAGGCAAAGACAGGAGGTTCCAGCTCCACTACAAGAATGTATATCCGTCCATCCATCCATCCATCCATCCATCAATCCATCCATCCATTTATCCATCCATCCATCCATCCATTGACTTGACTATTGAACCCTTATCGTTTCTTAGACCTTTGACCCCCTATAGCTGGCGTGACTATTGCCACTATATTATTAAATGAAACAATGCCCTCCTAGCGTTAACTTTGATTTCATAATGGCCTCATATTACCAGTGGTAGATAATGACAATTCAGATAATGATAAATCATAATTATTATTAAAAAGATAAATAGATAAATTAGTCATTATCTACCCCTGATATTACTGATTACTGACCATTGTTCTTCTGTTGCCATTCAGGATTGACCTGTGCGGAAAGTCCGCGAGCGGCAATGTTGAACACTGACTGCATACTGGGATGTCCGGAGATCTACTCACCTGTGTGCGCCAGCGACGGCTACACCTACGACAGCCGATGCGTGCTTGACTGCATCATCATGGACATTCAGACGAGAACAAGTAAGCGTCTTCTCCCGATGGCTGCTCTTCCCGTGTTCCAGTTTCTCGTAAAAGTTTTCTCCGAATTTCTGCGTCAATCGTCTTCTGTCTAAACTGCACGACGGAATACACGGGCCATGCGTTGTTATGGTGCGCGCGGGCGGAGGAAAGGGCGTGAGGGGTTCGACGCTTCCCGGAAAACATGAATGAAGAGATTGTAGCGTTTCTGCAATCCGGATATCAGAAAGACGGCAACAACGTTGTACACGTCCTTGGGGGGGGGGCAGTGTTTCGGTGCGGTAGTATATAGATCGCGAGGTAAACACAAGGTTAGGAATGCCGACGAGTGTGTGTATCGCTTCCAGCACGTGGGCCGCGTATTGTTGTTCGCGGAGGCGTCATGTTAGAGCCGGTCAGTTGCTATATTAACAGGGTTATTATAGCCATATTAGCCATATTATATCTAGTACGTTATAAATCGCTCGCATTTTCTTATCCTCTTATCTCTTGATCTCTTTAAGTAATAACATCGCTTCTCTTTCAGCATTGTTGAGTTCTACTGAGGGCATATACTGTGCGATACGCGAATATATGCTATACCATGCGCGAATAGAGAAATTTGTGTGGAACGAATCAGATCAGGGCGGATTTTTCCGAACGCTGAATATAGAATGTACCTCATAAAATTATGAATGGTTAACGATTCAAACGTGGAATACGTAATGGACTAATATATTTCACAATAGCCGTCCGCCTACTGGTAATACACTATAATACACGTAAGTGAATAGCAGATATCTAGAACGGCGACATGATATGGCTTTTAACAAAAGCTGCCAAATGAATGTAATAACAGACGACGGTTTTACCGGAAATTACTTGTACAACTGCGCTATTGACAACTTAAAAACAGCCTTGCCTTTTACACGGCTGCCATTTTCAAGCTTTTGCAACATTGCAATAATAAATTCGTGTTATCTAGAGGCTTAAGCGCGTAACAAATAACATATTATATGTTACACATTTATTCTCTGATTGAAAGAGCAATCGTGTGATTGTGTGGACCGAGGAAATCAATGTGGCAGGACCTCGAGGGCAACATTGTGACAGGAGCTCGAGGGCAACATTGACTTTCAAGGTCGACATAACTCTATGTGGACCGAGCAACCTGGCGATAATTGCATTGCTATAATTAAAATCACTGGTGTCCTAATAATACTGGGGGTGGGGTAATTAAATCAATAAAACTGCGGACGTATAGGCTCCGATACGTCATTATAGAAGAAGGAGAATTTCACGTCTATTACAAACCATAGGTTACCTGCGATTCATTAGACTAACGTAACTTAATAAATGTGAACTTGAATGTCACCTTTACCATAAATTTCTCGCGACCATATAACAAAATACCATATTATACACACATGCGTTTTCACCCGGCAACATAGGCGTGCCCAGCGCGCGCGCGCGTACGTGTGTGTGTGTGTGTGTGCGCGCGTGAGAGAGAGAGAGGAGAGATAATTGCGAGATCAATAAGAGAGTTTGCACAAAAATGATGACCATGATAAATCTTACAAATAGTAT